AGTGATATGAAAAACACTAGTGAAAAACATATTTCACGACTACTGCATAGTATGAATATCGCGTTTTCATGGAGTTTTACACCAGTTCCCGTAAAACGGGTGAAACTCCAACGTTTATGTGTCAGTGACAAAATGAAAATTCTGAGAAAATGAGTTTCTGTACATACTCGAATTCGTATGTGAACTCAGCTGAGGAAAGCGAACATATATTCCAGCTGTGTTGGAGGAATATATGTTCACGTTCCTCAGCTGAGCTCATATGTTTCCTCACTAATTATAGGAGTTTACATATAAAGTGTAAAGAAAGCAATAATAATTTCCGGAAATTCCTCCAGAAATTTCGTATTGTCACCGACACATGTAGTTGACGATATGCACATTTTCCCACAAAATATGATATAGATACGACAGGAGTACTCATATGAGAGTTGGTCACCCCTGTACGAGAGATTCTGATTGCACTGCAAGTGGTCACTGTCTTCACAGCACTCGTAGAGAAGATCGATACCGCACTGCTTGGCGAGATGTAAACGGATATTGGTGTTGGTAACTGATGGCATTCCTTAGGTCCACATGGGAGGGTCGGCCTACATCGATTCCGACACACGCAGAGTCGGCAGTGGTTACTGTAAACTCCTTTCTGGTATCACTAGAAGAGTCTAATGCATCTCACTTGAAATGGTTCTCAGGCACGGAGGCATTGACAGCGTTGTTGAAGTGTTTGGAGAGATCTTGGGGTCCGCTTATTACGAATCATGTCGCTGAGGAACTAGGGATGCCAGTGAACACTACCATAACTAGTATGTATGCATATGAAGTGATTAAAAAAATGTCGAGATATTGGCATATATAAACAATGGAGTTTCACTCGTTTTGTGTGAAGTGGTGTAATACTCCATGTGAAAACCGCGATATAAAGTGAAGTGAAAATACTTGCCGAATTACACCGGACGAATAACACATCACTTCTGCATGCGTTTTTCGCGCGAAGTGAAATGTGAAATATGCTTTTCGCTAGTGTTTTTCATATTACGAGTGAGACTCCAATGTTAGTGTTAGTAGAGCCTATATACGAAATTTCAGCCTACTGTATGTAGATTCGTATCACCGTTACGGTGAAATTAATATTTATTTTGATGCTTAGTGATAGCTGAGGAGTTGCTGGTGAAAGTCGGAGTAGTGGGGAAGTGTGTTGGCCCGAAGGTTACTCTCGAAAGTGGGAATATCTTCAGGACTTCTGCGTAAGATACAGATATGGTCAGGTTATGACATCCATCTGTTCTCGAGAAACGACTCGGCAGAAGCGTGCATTTTACGGTCACCTAAAACGTGTAATTGGAATATAAATGTGAGTAAAGCAGTGTTGAAATATATGTTCACTCCCCCCAGCTGAGCTCACGAATTTCCTCACTAAATGTGGGAATTTATAGACTTATTTGGCGGTGTACAGACACTAACGAGAATTTCCGTAAAATTCCTCAGAATTTTCATATTGTCACCAACACATGTGCAGATTTTGCCCCTACGCTGGAGTCAATAAAACAGATTTTGAATTTCAGATAGATTCGGAGGATGTGTGTGAGGACAACTACGACACTGACAGAACCTCTTGTGGGGTCTCGGACGGGCAGTGGGCGTAAGCAGTGTGAGGGCATGTGCATGTGTTGGTGAAAATATGAAAATTCCGGGGAAATTTTGGGAATTTTTTTATTGGTTTTTGTACAATTCTAGCCGAATTCGTATGTGAAATTCTATTAGTGAGGAAACCCTGAGCTCAGGTGAGGAGAGCGAACATATATTTTTCCAGCAACATGTGTTGGTGATGAAATTCCAAAAAAAATCGGGGTTTTTTGGGGTATATGTTACTGAGGAAACTCCTGAACCAAACGTAGTTTACAACACTGTTCGTGAGAAGGCAGGTTTCGCTGTGTACGCAGCTTGTCAACAGATACCAACAAAACTCTCCAAACGTGTGCAATCGTGTGAGTGAGATCACGGACAAGCACTGTTGGGAAGCATTTGAGAAATTGGTGAAAACCACAGAGGAGTAAATCGACGGGAGTATATGCACACGGCCAGGTGTTGGTGAAATTGTGGAAATTCTGAGGAAATGTTGGGAAATTTTCGTTGGTTTCCGTAAACTTCTACCCAAAATCATGTGTGAATTTTCACAATTCAGTGAGGAAACTCACGAGCTCAGCAGAGGAAGCGAAAAAATATATTCCCACACTGAATGGAAACTTCTGTGTTGAAGAACATTTCAGGAAGTGCCTTGTCTTGGCGACTACTGTGGAAGATGCGGAAATCTGCGAGAATAGAAGGAAACAACATACTCAGTGGTTGATCGATTGCATTAATAATATTTGTAACGTTCTTGGAGCACTTCCCATTTCGGGGTGAGCAGCGGACCT